GAGTATGGGTCACCATACTTGGCCACATGTCACTTTCACTTTCACACTATTTTGACCTGCTGGTATCCCCAGAGTGCCTGGGTTTGAGCGCTTTGAAACAGTGAATCATATTGCAAAACAATTGGTTTAATTGATTCAGTGATTCAAAAAGCTTTGGCTCTCCCATCACTAGCATCTGGACGAGCCTGACATTGGCTAAATGAATGGCAACTTGCAAATGAGGAAACAAAAGCATTATTTCTCCATTTGGTGACCCTAGTGATGTAGAAATGACACACTTTAGCTTTAAATTCTGACCTCTTTGTTTAGTCTGATACAAGTTTATTGTATTAGACTCTTTTGCATGAGCTTGGCTGAGCAAAACAGATCATTTCGTTATATGATCTTGGGTGAAGTTCAACCCTCTGTATTTATCAGTTTTGGCTCATAATAGCTCCCTTTGTTTTGTGGAGCCTTGCATATTCTCTGTCAGAGAAACATGACAATGAGGGGTAAGTGCTGTAGTGGAATAATGGAGGACCCAAAACGTCTCATGTGTTTAATTTCCCAATGAATCCAAATTAATGAGCAAATAAACCCATGCATAAATAATTGAGATACATAAATGACCAGCGCAGCAGCCTCTGCGGCACAATGGTGTCTCATTAAGAGTTTATAACTATGAGAAGATGAGAAATAGAAAGAGAGAGAGGAAGCCTGGCAACGTGTGGTATAGGACTCGTCTCTTAATGTAATGGATGGTAATGACAGCGCTTACTGTTGCCCGAATGTACGCTGACCGGTCACACAGTGCAGGGCCGCCGGCACTGTCGAGGATAATTAAAAATGTGTGTGTGTGTGTGTTTGCAAAGAGGAAAAGAAAGAATGATTGTGTGGATGTGTCTGTGGGGGAATAGAAAGAAAGCTTATTACCCATCTGCCATCCAATTTCAATCTCTTTAAAACAAATGAAACATTCACAAGACCAGGGACTTTTCATTATCTCTATCCTCAGCCCTAAAAGGAGCCTTTTACTGCCTCTGACTAAACAGCGGCAGAAGAGGAAGTGGAGGTGAAACGGGAGAAAATGAAGAGCTAGAGGCAGGAGAAATCTGAACTTAGCAAATGGCATTTACATAGCCTTTACCATGCAGGTCACACCGCCAAAGCTAAGCAAATCAGCTCATAAATGAGGCGAATTAAACAAGAAACATGTTGCTAAGTGGAACCTTTTGGATCACAGAACGTTCCACGTAATCTCTGAATCACAAAGATGCGGTAACTCGTTCTCATGTTTGAAACATCATTCCCGAGGTGCCTTGTCGTCTTAAAAGGAACATGCTGAGCTCCGACCGCACCGAGCAGCGCAGTTAGTGAGCCGTGGCACGCCGTTGCAGTCTCCTGTGGGTTGTTGGTAGCATTAGCATGCTCCGTACAAAACTTCCTATCCTGAGGTCACATCTAAATGGAAGAGATTTGAGAAGAGGAGTTTGGGTCGTGGAGAAGGTCATCACCATTAATCATGCCAGAGTCTCTTTACCACCAGTCCCAGATAGCATCATTGATCGAGGCTAGTGATTAATTCCTCGGTAAAGCAGGTGGAACTTGTGAAATCACATCTTTAATTTGTTTCTAATCACTGCCTGGATGGTCACTTGGCAACCAGGACTCATGAAAAAGGATGAATGTCTTCCTTGTGATATGTAAAAAGCCGTGTTCTGATTCATAGTGTCCTTGAGGAGGGTTCAATGCTTCCAATATGCTAAAAATAAGATCTCTAAAAGTTCCACTTGATTTGAACACGATATTTAGGCAGGAAATTTCAGTGCCTTCTGCAGGTTGTGTCGTTTCGCCAATAGGTGGCAACAAGTGACTGTTTTTATGATTAAGTTATTATTTGAATAATTTACTCAACCAAATTGTTCAACAAACAGTTCAGTCAGGAACGAATCAAGACTGACTTTGAGCGAGTCATCGGTTTGTCATTGGTTCATTCAGGAACAAAGCAAGCGAATTGTCTTTATGAGAAAATTAATGAATCATTCATTAAACCGATTAGTTCAAAAACCAACTCGTTCAAGAACAAAAAAGTGAATGCCTTTTAGTTAGTCATTGGATCAAATGATTCGTTTAACAACACTGATTCTTTCAGGGACGCCACTACTGTATGTGGCTTTTGCTGTAAATTATAGATAATAGGCTGTGTGTATTTATCCATATGTATTTTTAATTTTCAATGTGGAAGTAAGCTATTTTCTGTTAATGCGCAACTAAAAGTAAAAAGTGCAAAATAGTTTCACTACAAACCCGTGTTATTATGAAACCTATAATACATAAAAATAACAAATACCAGTGTGTGGCATTAGGCAGCATAACAGGGTGTTTTGTACAGCTATTATAACTATGAGAAAGCTTTGCACTTACACTTACAGTATGTTAAAACTAAAGTGGATAAGAAATGTTATTTAACTATTTACAGTTTTAGTGATAAATTACTATTGTTATGACCTTATTTGAAAAAAAAATTTATTTTATTTTTATGTATGTATCTTCTTAACTGTAATGTTACCAACTGTCTTGTAGGGGTTTAGCCAAATGTTGTAGCCTAGCTTAATGAGTGTAATGACTGATGAGTAAATTTCCCTTTTCATATCCTGTTACTTTCAAAATACTTGTTCCATATTACATTTGCTGTGTTTTTCAGACGGAGCATAAAAACTCTATTGGGTTTATAATCTCACTTGACCGAATACCATTTGAAGTCCACTTTGCAGGGCATTCTCAGGTGACTGCAACGTACCCCAATATAAGGTTTTCCCTGCATTCCCTTTGCTTTTGCTTTTTCTTTGAATTAACTCTGTCTCACATCACATCTAAATACGCAAGAACTGAAAAGAGAATCAGAAATGCCAGTCAAGCAGTGTAATTTTCTAGACGCAGAACGAACTGTTGATCTGATTACAAGAGGGATTTTAACAAGTGAAAATAATGAATGTTTTGTTTGTTTGTTCTAACCCTTTTATATGACTGCATTTCCCCGTAGACAAGCAGCCAGTCATCTTCAATGTCCTTCTTTTTCCACGCAAGACAGAAAATGTGTAAATTTGCACTAATATGAAATCTCATGCTCTTTAAATTATTCATGAGTTGAGAAGCAAACTAACCTGACACACTTCTTCCATTCTCCAGTCTCTCTTTAGACAGAAAGTGGGGTAAATTGGGTTTTTAGAAGAAAAGACAAAGATTTGATACAGTATTATGCAGGAAAAACTTGATAAATGGTGAAGACACTGCATTCTGGGTTTAGTCCATTAAATTGTCCTGTTGTCCTCAACTGATGGGTTGTGACACAAAAGTGTTGCATATCTGTTTTGATAGGGTGCAAGTAAAATGCAATTATACATAGTTATGATTGCAAAATAAATGCAATGCTTTTAGCCATCATCATGTTGTGTTAGTCATTTTGACCCAAAAATGCTATTAAAGTTTTTGCTTTAGACTCATACTTACTGACTATGCTAACACATAACAACTTCCCCAAAATTTTGATAATTTAGTTACTCTTTTGTGACCCCCCTGTTTCACTTGCAAAAATGACTGACCTAAAAAAGACATTTTCTTATTATGCTACATTATTACCAAATATTGGATTCAGTCGTTTTATCACCTTGTTTTCTTTCAATTCTACCAGGTTTTGTATTTCTTTTTGTGACTGATTGATCATAGGTCTCACTGATCTTATTATACAGCACATTTTGAGTGAACATTGCATTCTCCACAAAATAATGCTTTTTTTCCACAGAAAATAAGCTTATGCGCTTCACTTCTTCAGTGAACATTGCCAAAATTATCCACAAATAATGCTCCTTTCACTCAAAAACTGAGGTGCATGCTCAGATCAATGAGGTATGACCTATCAGTTCTAAAAAGAAATACAAAACCTGGGCTAATTGAAAGAAAACAAGCTGACAAAAAAAATACAGCATAATGAGAGATTTACAAGCAAAGACCAACATGTACTCGTTTGAAATTATGTGTCAGATGTGTCAATCCAGGTTTAAATGTGTATTTTAGCTCTGGATTACACCACCACCCAGATATTTAAAAAAATAAAATCCCCCGAGTTATGAATACATATTAGAGCGACACTACTGACATTTAGATCCAGTTTGATTATTCAGAACGGATGAAGAGCCAAAGCCCCCCACAACCGTTAGTTCAGGAAGGAAGAGCCCACCACAACGCAGTCTGCTGCTAATGAGCCAATTATCTCTGCACTGCAACACAGGAAGTCGTGGCCGTAAAACTGTGACTTTTTTTTTATTCATCACTTTTACAAGAGCATGTCAGCCAGCTCTCTGAAAATGTTAGATGGATTTAGAGGGGCTTATTAGACAAGCTGAGCTGTTAATGTTTTCATATTCCTTTTTAACCAACAAATTCATATTTGTATATTAAACTTAGATACCTAATAGGTGTTCATGGGTTCACACGTTGCAACATGTAGTTGGATCATGCTACAGAATCTCACATAATAAGTAAAAGGCACATCTAATCAGTTTGCGATGATGGTTCTGTGACTAATATTACACAGCTGTCATGCCTGCAACCAATGATGCTGCTCACATTATGACAGTCTGACAGTGCCATCTAGTGGCTAACATCTTTAAATAAATAAGCTTTCATTGCACAGCCTGTAAGAATTTATTTTTGTCTTTCACTGTTATAGTCTTCCAATAATTGAGTGGTTCAGTACCCATAAAACTAGTAGAGAGATGAATAAGCCCAAGAGGGAATATCCAAGAGCTACTACTCTCAGATTCTCCACTGCATTTAATTTTGTGATGGCTCACTATAACCTTTACTGTACATCACATTGGGATAACTGTCCTGATATACCAATAGGATGTGCCAGTTTCCATTACAGCCAGGCTGAATATTAGTCCCTTATCTGCTCTATTATGATGTCCCATGAGTGAATTCGGGCCTTGCAGGTGTGTTTTTATAGTGTATGAATAATATACATTTGTTGTTAGAGCAAAATCTCTCTCTCTCTCTCTCTCTCTCTCTCTCTCTCTCTCTCTCTCTATATATATATATATATGTGTATGTATGTATGTATAATAAATTATACTTGATTTGATATTTGCTAAGTTCTTAGCTTCTTTTTTAAATTTTGCCTAAATTAAGTGCTTGCTGAATTTCTCTAAAATATCACAGCACATTTATTAGCCATTTTTATTTTTAAGTATGTTTGCCTAATTTGATCATTTTAGGCTATCTACATTTTGAATCTCTCTCCCTCCCTTCCTCTCTCTGAGAAATGATACTTGATATTTTGTTTAGTTCTTAACTTAAAAAAAAAATCTAAATTAAGTGTTTGTGAAATTTGCAGAATTTCTCTGAAATGTCACAAACGCGTGTATTAACCATTTTCATTTACATGTTTCCCTCATCCTATCTATCTATCTATCTATCTATCTATCTATCTATCTATCTATCTATCTATCTATCACTGTCAAGACAAGAAATGGAACTTAATTTGATGTTTTGTTTCGTTCTTAACTTTTTAAAATTGTTTTGTTTAATTTAACTAAATTAAGTGTTTGCAGAATTTCTCTATTAAAATATCAGCACATTTCATTTTCACGTATAGCTATGTGTACACATTTCTCTCATGTTTGTCTAAAATTGTAATTTTACAATGTAGAATTGCAGAATTTCTCTGACTTTAGTTCCCCTAAAATACATTTACAAAATTGTTCAAATAAAATTTTACTTTGCACTTTTTCCATAAAAGCCTAAAAAAAATAATACTTTTAATTAAATTGGTCCTATGTTAACGTTTGTATAGTAAAGAACGGCTGTAATTAGCAATCACTTTGGAGTACAACTGAGTCGATTATCATGAACATGTGATGTGACAGAGGAAATCAATCATCAGTCAATCATAGAGCATCTGTTTGAAAATCATATTTTTTATATATTTTTATTTATTTGAGAATTTGCTAAAACATCAATTTCTATATATTTGATCGCATTCAAAGTAAATTGGCAAACACGTTGTGTTAACTGAACTGCAGAATCACCCGTATGTGTTTACATGGAGGTGAGCAGCAGTGTGTCAATCAAAGCAGCAGTTGTTTAAATTCGGAAGTGGGCGTGTGCGGGGGATCATGACGTCAACCTCAGACAGATCTCAGCGCGTTCGATCTCGGAGCGTTTCAAAGTTTCAATGGCTAGGGATTTAAAGCGTCGATTCCGCGGCCACTCCACGCTACATGGAACCAGATAAACGGCTGTTTTATTTTGGCGTGAAAAAGAATCGTTCCTACGTAGTGACCTTTTGGTACTCGAATGCATAACATCGCGTAGGAGTCGCTGTGTGCGTGGTGAACGTTTGCTCTCTGCCTGATTTCCTTCATCACTAAATGGAGTCACGGGTGGAATTCAGTCGAGAGGAGATCAACAGTACGGTATGGGAAGTTCCGGACAAGTACGTCTGCTTAAAGCAGATCGGAACGGGAGCTTATGGCAGCGTGTGGTGAGTTCCTGACATGCAGGTAGACGCTCGTGAACTGCCTTTCAACAGGTTGCCGCACGAAGTAGAACTATGTGGCAAGCCACTTTAACATTCATTGCTTCCAACTAGTGTGTAGTTAGTAGTAATAGTGACTCTTAAAGGGATAGTTCACCCAAAAATGAAAAACCCAAAAACCCACTTGATGTTTATCTGCTTAACCCCAGGGCATCCAAGATGTAGGTGACTTTGTTTCTTCAGTAGAACACATATGATGATTTTTAACTCCAACCGTTGCAGTCTATCTGTCGTATAATGCATGGCATTGGTAACAAAATCTATGAGAGTAAAAAAAACATGCACAGACAAATCCAAATTAAACCCTGCGGCTCGTGACGACACATTGATGTCCTAAGACACGAAACGATCAGTTTGTGCGAGAAACCGAACAGTATTTATATAATTTTTTTAACCTCTAATACACTGTCCAACTGTCTTTGGGCGCGCGCACGGCATCCGTTTCACTGTTGCACTATAACTGACTGGAGTAATTAAAAAAATAAGTAGTAGTTAGTAAAATGCAAATAGATGCTAGTTAGTTTTAAGGAATGTTATGTTCGTATGTCAAAAGTTTTTGCCACGGACACTGTGAAATCATGGTAGTTCATGAAATTGTACTGTGAAGTTGTGCCTATATCCTGGTTATTATGACATTATAATCTGGCTTGAGTTTTTTTTTTTATATATCTATCAAATAAGTTCATCTTACTTGATAAACTTACTTGGTTGGACTGCTTGGGGGAGTCTGATCTCAGACTTTGAGCTGATAAGATAACTAACCAATGATAATTTGGTTATGACTGATAACCGATATGATAAAAATCGACACTGTTAGGCCTGTTTTTCACACTAAGTGAAATCACGTGCTTTCAGTGGAAACAAGGTGTCAAATGTACTGTACAGTAGAAAAGATTGATAAAACAATGGATGTTTTGTAGTTATGAAAACGTTTTTTGTTAGCTCTATTTTCAACAACCAGTAACGGCCAAATCAGACTGACTACGCTGCTGATGTCACCAATTTATCATGCATTTCTAATTTTGCAGGCTATTTGCTCGAGATGCTTATGCTACTGTATTTTCACTATTACAGTCAGATCATTGCTAAATTTAAGGTGCGTTCCGATTGACAGGGTCCCTACGCAGTGTTCACTGCTCCCTACTCCCTAAGCACGGGATATCCGTTGAAGTGGACTCACTGACAAAAATCGCTCATTTGGAACACCCTGGAACGTCATCATAGAAAGGCAATGACGGGGTCACACGGATTATGATATAAAATAAATAAATATTGTAATTTATTTTACTTTTCAATGTAAATGCATATCAAATACAACGGCTATACAATTATGTATCTAATAAATATAGTCAAAATTGATATGTTTAGACTGTTAACAGATTGTAGTGGTTTCATCTCGTGCGCTTTCGAGTAGCTAACTCTCCTGAGTTAAATAAAGTCAAATAAAAAAGGACAGGGCCTCGGCTGTTTCTCGCCAGTTTTTACGTAGTTTCACCTATTCATACAATACAATATGCAAATGTAACATTAATCTCCATAACCATTCATAAATACTCTAATTTGTATAATAGGCTTAGGCTAATACATTTATTGCAACCCCTCCATTGCAGAGTCTTTTAAAAATTCTTTCAACTGCTCTGCTTTATCGTTAGTTCTGACTGGTGACGCGGTGCGCAATGACAGTTGGGTGATTGTCCCTCTCCACTTCCTGTGAAGTGATGTATCAATGTTCCCTTATTCCCTATGCCGTTCGCAGTGACCTGTTCGCTCCCTTCAGATTGGAATCTCACTTAAGATGGTGGAATACCCTGTGAAGTCCACTTCGCAGTCCACTTACGGTCGAATGGAACACACCTTTAGTCATGATATGATATATCCCAGCAGCATTGACGTTTCCTGTTCACTGTTTAATGCCACAAAACCTTCACAACAGCTCTAAGATCAGACACTGGTGAAAGTTGGGGGACTGTGAAACCCGCATGCATTGACAACAAGTCTTTGCAGCCAAGCAACGTCAACTAACATGCTTGTGCAGATTCTTATTTGAATATTGCACTTTCTATATCAGTTCCTGAATCTGTAAAGGTGTGTCATTAAACCTTCAAACCTCAGTTCAGAATATTTTTTCATGATTTATGATTGTTCTCCTTTTCTTAGCTCGGCCATTAATAATAAATCCAAAGAGAAGGTGGCTATCAAGAAGCTGCACCGACCCTTTCAGTCAGAGATCTTCGCGAAGAGAGCCTATCGTGAACTGAGGCTGCTCAAGCATATGAAACATGAAAATGTAAGTGTCTTTTATGCCTGACGTGCCTTGAGGTCAGATCTTGTTGCTTACATTGTTAGTTCTATTTTCCAGCAGTTTCAATGGCTTGAATGACTTTTGCAAGGCACAGAAAGACTTGTATCACACCATACTCGCATTGTTTTCATTGAGAATGGCGTGAGTGTCAAATGTTTAGCTTGGCGGACTCGGTGTGTAAGTTCAGAACAGGATACTTGTGGCACCTGGAGACACACTGATGATTGAGTGTGGTGTCATAAACTATAAGCGCCTTATATAAGCATTTAAAAGATTACATTGAAACCGAGGCAGCTTTATTCAGTCAGTCTGTCCATCGAACACCATTATAACATCTTGAAAAGGCTGTGACTCACTTGCTTTTTTGCTGTCCAACCCAAGGTAATAGGCTTGCTAGACGTCTTCACTCCTGCCTCCAGACTGGACGACTTCCAAGACTTGTAAGTTTTTAATGAGGCCTTTGCATGTAAAATCGATCTGTTAGCCATATGTCATATTTGAAGAGAAAAAAATTAGAATTCTGTATTTATCTACTCAAAAAAATTTTTAATTTTTTTTTCAAAACAACACAAGCAAATGGGTTTTAAATGACATGACAGTCAATAAATAATGACAGAATTAATCTTTGGGTGAATTATTCCTTTAAAAAAGAAATAAGCAGTTCCTTTCTGTTTTAGCTACCTGGTGATGCCGTACATGTACACAGACCTCTCTAAAGTCAAGGGCATCCTTACAGAAGACCGTATCCAGTTCCTGGTCTATCAAATGCTGTGCGGACTAAAGGTCAGACTCACAAAAAGAGGCAACATTTTCTCAACCAGGCATGATGTGACAAGTTTACAACAGTTTCTGAAAATTAAAATGCTGTGTGATGCAACACAGCCAGTCAGAACAGAACATGGAACCAAAATTGACTGTTAATACACTTCCGTTCAAAAGTCCAAGGTCAGTGAGAAGTTATTTTTTGAGAGAAATTAATACATTTATTCAGCAAGGATGCATTAAATTGATCAAAACTTACACTAAAGACATTTATAGATTTAGATTTTTTTTTTAAAAGTTTCCACAAAAATATTAAGCAAATTGATATTAATAAGCAATGATTTTTTTTGAAAATTCGGCTTTTCCATAACAGGAATAAATTACATTTCATACATAAAAATATATTAATAGAAAGTTCTTTTTAATTGAAGTAGTATTTCACAATATTTATTTTTTACTGTATTTTTGATCAAATAAATGCAGTCTTGGCGAGCATAAAGGCGTTTTTAAAAAATCGAACTGACCTCAAATGTTTGAACGGAAGTGTATTTTTGTGGACTTTCTGTACATGATTCATCAGTGCACTTTATTACAAGCAAAATGCTCCACCACTGAATTAACCATAATCCATTCCATTCCTGATTAAGAAAGAGTTGCTTCTTTTACTTTCTTTTTTTCTATAAATGCATCACATTACCAAAGTAAACTGGGTTGTGAATGTGGTTTCCTGTTGACTTTAAGTTAGTAAACATCTGACAAAACTAAAGCGACTGAATAATTGAGGAGAAAAATTATGTACTTATAAAAACAGAAGTATACTTTGGGCTTAAAATGATTGCCATTAGGAATGGTAATACAATCTTTCAGATCAATCCCATTAGTGTAATCAAATACTAAAACATAACACTGTGAAGAATGTCATAATACTGACTTGTGGTATTTCTTTCTTCCTCTCTGTCCCTCTGTTTCTCTCCACTCCACAGTACATTCATGGTGCTGGCATCATTCACAGAGTAAGTGAGACTGGCAATGAATAAACAGCATCTGCTCAGTTATCATTTCCACACAGATCTGAATTAAAGACACATGGCCTCTCTTGGGATCGTTGTAGCTCTTCCCGGGGAGATGCAAATGTGCTCCATTGGGGAGTTTTCATCTCCATGAATTACATTTACTTACTGCTAATTCGCTAATATGTATTGATCAGAATAGTCATCCCTCTCAGATTAAGAGGAATAAATATATTTCTAATTCGTATTTAGTCACATATTAACTAGTTTACAACAGCCTCAGATGTGGCTCATCCAATTAGATTTAATATAATGGATTGCTGTTATGAGTCTTGTTTTTACTCGAGTATTACAACATGTAAAGCTGTTTTTCTTCATTATTTATGAATATCTTTATCCAAATGCCAAATAATGGAAAAGAACGTTCATGTACAAATTTGTGAAACGTTATTGGATTATGAAAATAGGCATATACAGTAATACTGTCCAAAAGTTTGGGGTCCGTAAGATTTTTTAAAATATTTTTGAAAGAAGTCTCTTATGCTCACCAAGGCTGTATTTCATCAAAAATACAGTAAAACTGTAATATTGTGAAGTAATAGTTTTCTGTTTTAATATATTACAAAATGTAATTTATTCCTGTGATGCAAAGCTGAATATTCAGCATCATCCAGTCTTCAGTGTCACATGATCCTTCAGAAATCATTCTAATATGCTGATTTGCTGCTCAAGAAACATTTATTATGATTGTCAATGTTGAAAACAGTTGTGCCGCTTAATATTTTTGTCAAAACTATTACAATTTTTGTAGGATTATTTGATAAATAGAAAGTTGAAATTATAAGTTGTAACTATTTAAATGTATGTACTATAACTTTTTATCAATTGAATGCATCCTTGCTGTATAACAAAAAATCTTACTGACCCCAGAATTTTGAATGGTTGTGTGTGTGTGTGTGTGTGTGTGTGTATCTATAATACAGTATTTAAATGCTCTTAGAGTTGTAGAAGTGCTTTTCTGGAGACATTCTGGCAGTATGTTTTAAATGGTAGATGCACAGATTGAAATGTCCAAAAAATGAATGTATGCCAAGCTACAGTAGTGATTTATCCTATTTTTTTTATTTTACATGCAGGTTCTGAAATGTGCTTTTTGCTTTGTCTGAGCTTCCCTTATTACACATTGTCCTGTGAGGTAATCCCAGTAATTTCCTGTTTGGTGACGCAGTGCCTGTACATGCTCAGTTCTGTTCGAAGCCGCCTGGAGCTGTGAAATACAGCTTACTGCGTTCAGAATTAAGATTTCTTAAGAAATCCATTAAGATGTTGTGTAATTGTTCAAGAACAATGTCTTTGTAGGAAGATTAACACCTTTATGCATTGCAGGACCTCAAACCAGGAAACCTGGCTGTGAACCAAGACTGTGAGCTGAAGGTTTGTGCCACCATTCTTTCACCATAAAAGAGAGAAGCGTAACCCTCTTACGGTTGACAGTGACGCTCTGCGTTTGGTCTGCCTGCAGATCCTGGATTTTGGCCTGGCGCGCCATGCAGAAGCAGAGATGACGGGTTACGTGGTGACGAGGTGGTACCGGGCCCCTGAGGTCATTCTAAACTGGATGCACTACACGCAGACAGGCAAGATGTTTGTCATTCATTAAGACGTACACACCTCTTAAAATTATTACTGAGAGCTAGGTTCACTCTGATTAGGCAAAACATATGGTTACACTATTAGGGAACACTATTCACTATTAACTAGTTGCTAATTAGCATGCATATTACTAGCATATTGGCTGGTTATTAGTACTTGTAAACACATATTAATGCCTTATTCTGCAGGACCGTATTCTAAATCCTTTAACCCTACCCCTTACCTAAGCATAACTACTACAGCAACCACCTTACTTCCTATCAATAAGCAGCAAATTAAGAGTTTACCTAGGGGAAACTCATAGTTATTAGAGAATATGTGTTCCCTAATTTAGTGTTGTCTAGAATATGAGGTTAAATACAGTAAATATTGATTTAGTCATCTGTTATGCTCCAGTTATTTTTTTTTTATCTGTTCAATAGCACCTCTGTTGGTTTATATGAGCAGTTCTAACATGCTCTCATTGGTATTCATAGGTATAGGTTTAACATTGATACCTACAATATCAACATATGGACACCTTACAAATAAACTCATACAGCTTATTTCTATACAAGTTTACATGTTTAAATCTTTACAAATTCTCTTGAGGTTTATAGAAAATGTAATTTATTGATTTTTTTTTTAACAATAAATTAGATGAATTAAAACATTTTAATACTATTAAATGTATTTAACATGTTAATGGGTTTTAATTCAAATGTAAATGAGAATAAAATCAAAATATAAAATTAATGAAAATGCAAATGAAAAAAAAAAAACAAGATTAAATCAGACATTGTTTCTGCCTAAGTATTGTTGTGCCTAAATATTGAACTCGGTCACTTGTGGTGGTACGGTAACACTTTAGTATAGGGACCAAATCTCACTATTAACTAGTTGCTTATTAGCATGCATATTATTAACATATTGGCTGGTTATTACTAATTATAAAGCACTTTCTGCATGACCATATTCTACATCCCTAATCCTACCTGATACCTAAACTTAACAACTACCTTACTATTAATAAGCAACAAATTAGGAGTTTGAGGCAAAAGTCATAGTTAATAGTTTGTTAATAGTGAGAATTATACCTTAAAATAAATGGTGACCGGTGATACTTATATGTAATTGTAAATGTGTAAATCACTCATATTTGTGTAATTGACAGAATTAGATAAACAAGCTCCTCCTAACTATTCGTTTAGAACTCCATCTATCACTGTTCCATATAAATATTCATGAGATTACATTAATATTTTTTGTGCTAAATTATGTAGTTGTGTGTGCTAAATAAAGCACTTATCAGTTGTATGTGCTAAATAAAATCACACTTATTTAGACAAACATTTCACAATAATTTGCACTTTTAAATATTGTTGAATTTTTACAAATGCTCAGATACCCTTCCTTCATGTCAGTGGTTCTCAACATTTTTTTCCACTGGGCCGCACTATGGTCCAAGTGCAAGTCTCACGGGCCGCACGCATATCATTTACATATTAGGTCACTAATACAAACCAACCATATTATATATATTATATATATAATATTATATTATATATTATAGCCTAAATATATTATCTAATCAATTACATTCATTAAAATAAATTAAAAAATAATTATACTCACCATTAATAAAACACCTGATGTTGTCGGGAGCTGACAAATTTTGTGAAATTCTGCTCGAAAGGAGTTACAGCACAATGAAGTTGCAGTCTGGAAGACGCGCACGGAAGCGTGACTTGACGCGCAACATTGCAGAAAATGTGCGTTCACCAATGTAGCCTATGTTGATCCACATATGGAAAACACTTTCGAATTTAATAATCTGAGGTTCTCTCCAGAGATGTTTTGCCACATTTTTGCAATTAAGGATGATTGCTGCATAGTAGTTTCCTTTTGAACATCTTCAAGTGAGTGGCGGGGCAAACCGAAAGTCCAGAACTCTCCTACCTTCACTGCTTATAGATTATTGTTGTTTTTATGTGTTCCTTTGCTGGCATTTTCCACATTTAGTTTTTCTCCCTTAATAACAAATCTGTCCATTCTGATGCTCAATTTTACCGAACTAATGGCTGCTGATGACTATTTGAATTGAATTCTGCCAAAGTGCGCGCTTGTAAGTGTTTGTTAAATGCGAAACGTTATTTACATGAGTAGCCTACAGGTCTGCTCATGTCTGAAAATAATATATGAAAAACAAAATTACGTCCACCTTTAAATAAACATCAACACAACTCAGGTTCGTTTAAATAAATCCCGAAAATGTATTGATGGCTTTACAGAGTTTTTTTTTTATTACGCAGGACACCTTAAACATAAGTTAACCAAGCAAGAGTTGAGCATCAAACCATACAAAAACAGCAAAAATCACACAAAAACCCATTATAATAAACCTTCGTGGTTCACACAATTCATCAAAAGTAAATTACATGCAAAAAAAGCTCAACTCTGCTTAAACACTAAGCATATAGCATCTTGTGAAGTATATATAAGCAATGGGGGGAACAAACAAAAATATAAATAAACAAAAGAAAACTAGTCCGCCTAAAGGGTCGTTCCCATTTCTTTCGGCCCACTTACCAATTCAAGTATCCGGGCGGACTAGACAATAAACCAAAACCAAAAAATAAACTGAAACCCAAATACAACAAGAGCAACAAATGGGCTCCGTAGAGCTGAAACACACACATTAAAATACCTTTATTATTTACAGTATATCAAGACAAACACCACCTATTAAAACATTTTAGTGCTTCAAACAAACTCCTACCTATGTCAAAGATCCAAAAGACGGCATATGCAAACCCCTCGCCTATGAAACAATAGGCTTCATAGAGCTGAAACACATGCATTAAAACACCTTTATTATTCTTCCTAAAACACACACCACATATTAAAACATTTTAAGATTAAAAAAAACAAAACTCATACCTATCTCCGAGATCCAAGAAAATCCACCTGCGAACCTCTCGCAAACAAACAGTAAAAGTATCGGTCTATTTCCGCCGGGCCAGAAACAAACGCACCTGCCGTTCTCGTTCCTACCGCTGATCTTTATACATAGCTAACCACACACCCTTAATTCACTTTACTCCCTAAATATCACCTGCCACAATTATTTTACATAACTAAAACATTATAGCTTATATTTGTTTCGTACATTTTTAAATGAATGTAAAAACTAAAATGAATTTTAAAACTGAAAGTTATTTTTTTAATTGTGTTCAGCATGGTGGGCCGCATTTGAATTTGTGACGGGCCGCGGGTTGAGAACCACTGCTTCATGTAGATATCAATCTTTAATTGCCAGTTTACCGAATGTGCTCTGCTGATTCAGATTTGCTACATTAATGTACTGTGTGTCAAATGGTCTGCATTGTTTTAATGGCTGGTGGTTGCAATGATTATTATATTTCAATATGTGCGATTGTTGCCTTTTTCTGCTTTCTAGTGGATATCTGGTCTGTTGGGTGCATCATGGGTGAAATGTTCAATGGAAAAACACTCTTTAAAGGAAAAGACTGTATCCTTCAGCATTCACTTTGCCTAATTTATTTCCAGTTTTTTTTTCTGAATGAACATATTCTGAGGGCTGAATTTCAAGAAAGTGAAACTTTCACCTTTTAACATTCTGCTAATTAAATTTCAAATGACTGATTTACAGTCAGTACACTGTCATTTAGTTAATTGCAATTGCATTTCGAAATGCTGTGCCCACTTATTCCCTTTTGTCATGCTTGTCAAGAACAGAAATAACTTGGAAATGACATGATGTGCATTGTCTTTAACTTTTGACATTCAGACATGGACCAGTTGATTCAGATAATGAAAGTTACAGGGGCACCAGGTCCAGAATTTACTGAGAAACTAGAAAGCCCAGAGGTAAGACATTTTCGATGCAACCAAAGATGGTATCTTTAATACATGATATGTCTGAATGAATTGCTAATGCAATGTGAAGTAAGATTGAGAAAATGGTCTTGAATATTTAGGGAAAAAATTCAACTTGAATTATTAACGTTTTGCGTGACGGTTGCTGTAGCTACTGTGCTCGGCTGTCATTCCTGATCTCGATCAATGTCAATATGTCTTCATTGCTGTTGAATAGGCAAAAAGCTATGTCAAATCCCTGCCCCACTACCCACGCAAAGACTTCTCAACATTGTTTCCCAGAGCCAGTGAAAAAGGTAAGTAATACCCCAATGAAAAATTACTCCTTTGTCATGTTGTCACATTTCTTGCTTAGCAAGAGACTTTTTTCATTGTAAAACTTGTGATTTAGTTTGACTGCATAGTTGCTGCCTGTCAATGTGACATGCCATTATTTCTGACAAAAATGACAAGATGCTGAGCAAATGCAACAGAACAATTTAAGCAAGTTTTTACATTTTTCACCAAACGTCAGGAAGAATGTCACCTGGTATTGCCACACATATTCTGTACTATGGCACAGCAGTGGAAACTTCTAGATTAGTTATGTATTGCAACTTGGAATTTAATAGGCATCCAAAAAAATATGAAACGTCAGCCAAACATTTTAATGACATTATTATTCGATGTTAGTTTTCTGAAGCTTTGTTAACTCTGCAGTTATTTTTAGAATTGGTAACACTTTACAATAAAGGTTCAGTTAGTTAACATTAGTTAATGCATGTTTACAGCATTTAATAATATATGTTAATTTCTATACTAATACATTAACATTTTCAAGCAGTACAAGCTGTAAATTAACATTAATTGTGAGCAAACATGAATTAACAATGAACAGTAGTATATTTATAGATTAACATTAAAGGGGTCATATGATGCAATTTCAATTTTTCCTTTCTCTTTGGAGTGTCACAAGCTCTTGGTGCGTAAAGAAGATCTGTAAAGTTGCAAAGACTAAAGTCTCAAATCCAAAGAGATATTCTTTATAAAAGTTAAGAGTTAACAACGCCTACCTAAAACGGCTCGTTCTAACACGCCCCCACATGTCTACGTCACTATGTGGAAAGATTTGCATAACACCGCCCAAATATTCACGCAAAGAAAGAAGACGTAACTTTGATTCTCGCTGTAGTATTGTTGCTGCCGCCATGTCGTGAAGGCGCTGTGTGTTTCGTTGTGAAAGCGAAGCTACTTTGTTTGACCTTCCAAAAGAGGACGATATCCGCTTCGTTATGTTCTCAAGCCCACCGGCCTCTACTCACTCTAGGCCTCCAGCCTCGGCTCACTCAAGGCCACCGTGTGTGACGCTATGTTTTGTTGTGAAAGCAAAACTACTTTGTTTGGTCTTCCAAAAATATAAGTCATTATATACATTATATAATCCGTAATTATGTCCCCACTGGATGCAACAAATGCCTCGTTTGTAATGGGTTTTAATGTTTTTGTCTCGTCGCTCCGGCCGGGACAAGGCATCACAATATGGCAAGGGGCGTAACATTTCCGTCACACGCTTCAGGTATTCGGCCAATCACAACGCACTGGATAGCTGGCCAATCAGAGCACACCTCGCTTTTCAGACCGATGAGCTTTGTAAAAATCGATGCGTTTCAGAAAGGCGGGGCATAGAGGAGAAATGTACAGTATGTGGAAAATAATGTGTTTTCTTAACCTTAAACCGCATAAACACATTTCATTACACCAAATACACAAAATAATGTTCTTTTTAGCAACGTCATATGACCCCTTTAACCTAATAAATGTTGTAAAAATGGCTAATGCATTAACTTCCATTATCTAATTTAAATTTATTGTAAATTGTTGCTCTACAAATAGTGTTATTTTGCCATTATTGAGATACTATTATAGATTCTTTATATTTTGAATGATTTCGTATTTGTTTATTTTCCATTTTAATTTTAGATAAAGTTTGTTATAATTTTGTTGTGAGTTTTTGTCATATTTATTAGTTCTTTTTATTTTTTTTTATATTTGTGTATACTTTTTTGTTTTGTTTTAAATGTTATTTCAGTTTTAATTTTAGTCCAAGTTAAACTAAATGAAAATGAACAATGTTGTTTTGGCAACAGGTTGAAATAAAAGAAGAGTTTTTGTTATATTTTATTTTATTTGAATTAACGAAAAATTTTATGTTTAGTTGTAGTTAACTGTAACAACTTTTATACTGTGATCTTCTGCTACCTTAACCAACCTAAATCAGATTCAACTAGTCCTAATAAATGATCAAATAACTTTATAATATTATCAAACCATAGCTCAGCTTGCCCTGTACTAATATAATAATGCATACTATATATCAGCTTTTGCTATTCTAATGATGTTGCTCTGTTTCTGACCCACTGTGTTGTCCATCAATGCTACTGCACTGGTAACTAACCCCAGCGGTAGATCTGCTTGAGAAGATGCTGGTGTTAGATGCTGATGCTCGTCTCACTGCTGATGGTGCATTGGCACACAGTTATTTTGATGGCCTGAGAGACCCAGAGGACTGCCCAGAGCCCACGCCGTACGATGACCGCTACGACAACGCCACATTGCCCTTAGAAGAGTGGAAACGTGAGCAACATATTATACACACAGTTATGCGTGCTGTACTTTATATATTTGCACATATTGTGTATATAAATGCAATGTGATCTTTTTTTAATCACAGGTTTATCGTTTAAAGAAGTGAGGAGCTTTGTTCCTTTCCCAAGAAGAGACTCAAAGAGAAGAAACACACTCACAATGTCCTAGTGATAGTGGGTCTGACATTATATTGCAATTATGCCATTTAGTTTCTGCCTATGAACAATTTAGAATTGTTTATCGACTCCTAAAAAGTATATGAAAAGCAGTATTTTGTACAATAACTGACTTCTTAAGGAATATGTGGTATATCTGGACATCTGGTGAATGAACATTTTATTTTGATATAGTGGTAACTGTCCTACATTTATCGCCAGTATGCATAGCACCTTAAAGGGATCATTTGCTCACCCTCACACCATTTATACAGAATTTATTCCATCCCTGTGCTGTTTCAGACAGCTTGTGGGCCATATTCAAAGTCATCAGCCGTATGATAGCTTTTTGAGGGGAACAAACCAAAACCTAAATTCTCTAATTTTTTCACCAAAAAAAGAAAATAATTTTAGATGATATGAGGGTGAGTAAATGATGACAGACTTTTTATTTTTAGTAAACTATCCCTAAGTGCTATCTGATGAAAATGCTTTTTAAAAGGACAGCTTTGTACGATTTTATGTATTTTAGTGTTTCTAGTATTTTAGTGTTTTTAGTGTATTTCACAATCAGTATACTGTTAAAAAGTTTGGGTTAAGTACATTTTTTAAATGTAATTTTTTCAACAAGGATGCATTAATTTGACCAAATACATTATATATATATATATATATATATATATATATAAAATAAATTTATAATGTTGCAAAATATTAGTTTTAATTTTTTTTAAGAAATGCCGTTATTTTGAACTTTCTATTCATCAGAGAACCTTTAAAAAAAATGAATTGTTAGTCTTACTGACCCCGAACTTTTGAATGTTAGTGTATTAACAAAATATATACAAAAGTATAATGAATTGGTGGGGATACATAACGGACACTGTTACCGACTTCAATTGAACACTTAAACAAAGCCTTAGTATTGTGACATGTTTACTTAAAGTCAACATGAAATAGCAATGGCTACCCATTTTACTCATATCTCTACCTACAAGGTATGCTACTAGAATTTATTTTTTTCTGGCATTGCCTGCTTTTCTAGCAGGACTTGTGTCCAAGTGGGAATTAATTGGCTTGTGAAGTGGGTGCTAAAATTACATAGCAAAATGAAGCCAGTTGGTTGAAGGGGAGGGATTTAGAAATGGTGTGTTAGGGGAAATGATTACAGAGACAAACATTTCTTTTTGGGGGAGTAACATGCACCTACAAATTTTTCACAATAAGACCAAGAATGTGTATTAAGAAAGTACATATGGTCAATTCTAATTTCATGGTGACTTTAAGGTTTGTGCTTGTTATCTTCAAATCCTTTGAAAGGTGTGAAGGGATGCTTAGCTTGTGGAAGTGATTGATTGTCCATGACAAATGGCACCAGCAAGGTTTTAAATAGCACATCGGTGTGAGATCTGACATAAAGACTTGTTTTTCTCATTTTATTGTTCTCTTTGGCTTTAGTACAGTATTTTGTTTCTTGTATGTGATAATGTG